GTATCTAATGTTGACGACTTCTCAAGATGGCCACAGGAACAGACGTGAGCCCTCTACTAGGGTTACTATTTCAAGCCTTCTACTATGCTTCTCTATGTGGTAGAATTCCTGTCCCTTACTGTTTCTGTATCTCCAGTTTAGCAGATGGTGCAAGAAACTGGAAAATGACCAAACGATTCTCCCCTTCTTGCTCTTGCTCCCCCCATCTTTGTAACAAGATGAATCACAATTCAAAGCTTAGCTTTCTCACAAACAAACAAGACAGCATCCCCCTGTGACAGAGAGGATTAGTGCAATCCAGTTTTATGCCATAAGAAACCTGAAGGTACAGTGAAAGATAAACTTTTGCACTTCCACTTCTCTCCTTCCTCATCCACCTGCTCTGGCTTCTGGTCTGTTGCCTTTAACCATAAGGAAAAAAAGGCTGAAGATGAGTCTTTTTCACTTCTGCAGTCTTTAGAGCTACAGAGAAGGAATGAAAATAAGGAACTAGACTGTAACTCATATTCCTTAGTGCCTGTGGAACAAAAACGATGGATCTTGAGAAGTCCTATTAATTATTTAATGTTACATATTAATATGATCACTCATGTAGCTCTGGGGTGTAAATTTCACTGTTTAGTAGGTCTCATGTGGTGTCTGTTCTGCAGTACAAGTCTCCTGAACTCTCTGGAAGAGAACTGCAACCGTACACTAGGAATGGACAGACACTGCCTATGTTGTATGTGAAGTCTAGGTGAGCTTTGAAAGACTTGAACAAATGCTGACCTACTACTAGCAAAACTATTTTAAATGTAATGCAAACCTTGAAATAAGAGTTTCTTCTAATACTTTTATGGAGACAAGTCCCTTGATAACTGGCCAACTGCACTTTTTTTAATGGATGAATGGATTAAGCAGAAAGCAAAAACTTCCTGCTACAGTGTCACTCTGATATAAACTTCATATTCTAAAGAGTGGGGTTGGGTGTCCATCAGTCTGTGACACACTAGCCTTTTTTTTAACTCTAATATGATAAGCTAAATGAGTCTTTAGGAATTTAAGGTATGTTAGCAAGTGTTTTAGCTGGGAGTGGAGTGCTTTTTTTTTCAGTTGACTATTTTACCTGTGTGCCACTGTATGAGTCAGTGCATAGTATGCTTGGATCTACCAGAATGACTCCAGAACTGTGGTTGAAACATAGTTTCTGTTCATGAGGTAGCTGTATTGCTGTTATCAGATCTGCTTTAACGTGAAGATTTTTTTTTAAGTATTTCAGGTGAAAGCCTTATCAGGTGCCTGCCCTTTAAGGTAGACTCACGTGTGGTGTTGTATAGAATGGAACAATACTGTCCTTAAAATCGTGGAGTTTAAGAAACCATAATGAACAGAAGAATGCTCCTATTGCCAAAGGGCAAGCGTCTGAATTAGATGGGCTTGACCTTGCTCTAGTGGCTCTTGCTAATCACTTCAGGTGGTTGCTTTAGCCACTTGCTCCTTTTAAGTGAAGTATTTCAAGTGGTCCTGATGATCAGGCACCAGATATAAGCAGGAGGTACCCCATGTCCCCATACTTGCACATGTAGATGTGTGCAAGTCTGGCTGAAATAATACCGCATATTCCAATGGTCTTGCACTGTCGTCCTGTCAATGTTAAGACCTGCTTTATGGATTTGTAACTTAACCTAAGAAAAGCAAGTGCTATTCTGACTTAGTGTTTGCTCTGCCAGAGCAAGGTGAACTCCTCTATAGCCAAGTTGAACTCCTTAAGGAATTTAATATTTTTTGTCTGTTTTCTTAGCAGGTGTTTACTTGTAACACAACCACTCTCCCTCAGTGGTGCCCTGGCCCTCTCTGCTCAAGAGCAACTCAGTTTAGGCCCAGAAGGCTACTGAATCCCCTGTAATCTCTGCAGAGCAGAGTTTCCCTTCAGGTCAGGGTTGAGATGGTGCTAGTGGGACCAGAGTGGTCCCCTTCCATGCACATCAGTATACTACTCTAGCACTGATAGGGTGCTCCAAAAACATTTACATCTTTATCACCGGTACAGCTCAGAACTAAGAAATTGAAGGTTTCTTTAAGAACAATATCATGTATGTCTTTTTGTAATTAATCAGTGTGGTTCTGTGTTCTTATGTAGCCAACACAGAACTTGTATTTAGATTTAGTTCTTACTGCACTTCCCATAGCCCTCATGTTGATACTTCTTCCTGCTTCCTTTGACACTTAGACAATAAAATTCCCTCTGTACTGCTCTCAGCTTGTGCAGAGAAAACAAGATGTCTGTACTGTCTTTCTTTCTCACTTAAGCTTTCTCATTGTCAGTCAGCTGAGAAGTCAAAGGTATAGCCTTGAATGATGGTATCAGACAGATTATGTATAGATGCTCTGTACTTGCAATATTATGGACATGGAAGAACCGTCATTCTCCAACCGTCTGAACAGGTGAGTATGTCTGTACACATAGAGGCAGCTGCGAAAGAGCAAGAAGTATGTACATGGTTATGTAGTAAAGGCTAAAACTCATCTTTTCCTCTTGAACTGCCATCAGTCAGGCTGGATGGAAAAAAAAAAAGTCAGTGGATGCAGAAACAGAAATTTCAGTCTTAAAACAATACTCGAAGGGTTAACACAAGCCTCTGCTTGCACTGCTCTGCTCTTCAACATATGATCCAGTCTCCCCTCCTGTCCTGAAAAGCAATTCTGCTTAAGGTCTGAAGTTTAGTGGCCTTCCAGACTAATGATCTCACCAGGACTCTCAAGACAAATGCTGGGTTAATAAAGGACAGTCAGCTGCAAGATTCAGTGCATTTCCCCAGCAAGGGGGATCCAACTTTATTCAGGCTATCATCTTTCAGGCATAACATACCCCTTCTCTCTAGGGAAATGAGTAATAGCTGGGACCAGGGCCAGGACGTAGTTAAGCCTACAGTGTGTAGAGGAAAGGAATAAACATCCCCTAACCTGTTACTCCAAAGAGAATGGCACATGCAATAATCCCTCTTAGCTAAATTAATTATATGAACAACTTCTGCCCTGAGGAGAAGGAACTGCACAACACCTAGTAGATGTTACGAAGACACAAAAGAAGAAAGTAGCCACTTCACAAGCCTACATAGCCTGTGCTTGAGCCCAGGAGTTGACAATAGACTTCAGCAGCAGTCAAAGGCTTCTTGATCCCCTTATTAAATACTTAAAGATTAATAATATTAGCAAAAAAGGAAGACTAAAATGCTGTGACTTCTATAAATCTCTACTTCAGATGCTTGCTTCAAAATACCCTCTGCCCCATATCTTACAAATTTTGCTAAAGGTCGGGTAACTCCTAAACCCCCTATAGACGTACAGGTCAGGGTGATTGCTAGACAGTGGAGTGAGAATGGCAAACAAGTAACTTGGCCACAGCTGAGATTAAAAATAAGACTTTCTGCTTCCTCTTGGATCAGGCTTTCCCCCTGCTACTGATAGTTCCTGCCATTCTAGGTTTTTAAGTCAGTTAAGAGATTACACTACTTGAACCTCAGGGAAAACCTTTCTTGTGGAAAAGATACACAACCCAGTGAAGCAGTAATTAAAAATTAAGAAAAAGAAACCCAAACAGCTATTAGGCTGAGAAGCCCAAGACTGCAAAACTTAAGGCTCTCACATGCCTAAAAGCATATAGAAATCCATTCATGAGAGAGGAAGACTGAGCCTTAAGAGCACCATTCATGCAGAGACTGCAAGGTTATAGAAGGCAAAGGCATATGACTTGCTGTAGATAGCAGGCCATTACAGACCTAACTCAGCTGAGTTGGCTTTCCTGGATTGTATTTTTATTTTGGCAAAGAGTGACTGCCATCCTATCTCCAACCTCTCTTTGGGGGAGGAAGGGAGGAGAGGAATAGCTTTAGAGTAACTACTGCATTCATCCACCCCCAGTTCAGGAGCAGCTCCTGGAAGTGGCCAATAACTGAATAAACTTAAGACTGCTGTAGAAGGTTTTCCATCCAGAAAGAAAAGACTAAAAAAATAAAGAACATTGCTAAGGCTTGAAGTCAGATCTTTTTCTGTATAAAAGAAAAGACTGGATGGAACAAATGCATCTTTTGTTGCAGCACATGCCAGTGCGTAGTCTAGTCGTTCTCCCATTTGCCACCTCCGCACCTTGAAAGCTGCTGTGTTTGTCTAACCAAAGTTAGGAAAAATTTTCCAGCTCTACTATACAGCATTCCTATTCCCTTAGAGCATAAGAATGTGCAGTCTAGATCTGAAATAAATTAAATAAATTTAAAAATAAATAAAAGGAAAAATAGCTTCAAGACAGGAATGACATTTTCAGTGGAAGTTGGAGGATAACTTGTCTTGACAGGAGAAGCCAAACTTGTACAGCTGACAAAGGGAAGGAGCTTGAGGCATGCCAGCTGTTAAATCAGTCATCTTGGTTATCATTATAGCAGGTGAGCTCTCAAGAGAAACTCAGTATCATACTTTGAAGCAGGACGCAGTACATTCAATGGCAACGATCACGCAGCTTGTGCATTTCAGTGTGATGGTGCTATGAAAAGCACTACAGGCCACACAGCTGCAGCCTGGTAAGGAACAGGCTGTAGCCAGCAATTCAATTAACTTGCACAACAGGAAGCCTACTGAAAGGAGACGGTATCCCAGTAAGGCTTGCGTGCTCCTCCTTTAGATGAGCCACAAAAGGCTTCATCTGCACTTGGATGAACCATGGATATGTCTGCAAATTCCTAACAGTACATCCAATAAATGTTCATTAGTGAGGTGGTGGCAATGGGAGGAGAAACTGCACTGCAGCAACACCCTGCTTTGCAGACTGCCCACACCACTCTCAAATATCATTAGGAGCAGGACGTATACCTTGATCCACTCTTAAAAGAGATTTGCTCCGAGATGCTGAACTGTTCTTAGAGCCTCTAAGAGATGCCTCAGAGAAGAACTAAGGTAAAATGTATTTCAGAGCTCTCCTATACTTCACAAAGCAGGTGTCATACAGGCTAACAGTACATCCAATAAATGTTCATTAGTGAGGTGGTGGCAATGGGAGGAGAAACTGCACTGCAGCAACACCCTGCTTTGCAGACTGCCCACACCACTCTCAAATATCATTAGGAGCAGGACGTATACCTTGATCCACTCTTAAAAGAGATTTGCTCCGAGATGCTGAACTGTTCTTAGAGCCTCTAAGAGATGCCTCAGAGAAGAACTAAGGTAAAATGTATTTCAGAGCTCTCCTATACTTCACAAAGCAGGTGTCATACAGGGCACCAATGATCCATCTTAAATTTTTTTTTTTTTTTTATATATATAACAAGAGTTATTCCCATCTAAGTGTTGGTTTCAGAGCTCCCACCCCTCCCACTTAACTCTTCAGGGGTGAGGGAACCCACTACCTTATGGCTTGACACTACTTAAATGTTGAATTTGTAGTAAGACTTAGCCCTAAAGAATTCCACCCATAGCTTTTAATTGAAGAAATACAGCTGCAGAAAAAATAAACATCAGTAATTCAGAAAGATAACTGGATATGGCAGTCATGGGAAAACAGCTGCTGGAGAGACACATCATAAGGAAAAGGCATGAAGAAAGAAGACCTCAAGCAGCAGCCAAGTTTAATTTACTAAGAAAAGGAAAGAAACCAGATCAATTATATTGTTTACCACTCCTCCCATCCCATGTAACTGGGAAAACTGATTATAAAGGGCATCCTCCTGAAGTGATGAACTTAAAACTCTGAGAAAGTGAAGGAAGTCCAACTTCTATCTAAATAGCATAACTAAATGCACCACAGCTGCTAGGCTGTAATCTAAGCTGTTGTCTAGCAAAGATACTTCCTGAAATATGTGTTTGCCTCTACAGCTGCATGTTCCTGCAGCTTAGGAGACTGGTAACAGGGTATGTACACACACTGCCAGTGGTCTCTGGCAACCCTGCCCTGAAGTACCAGTCTCCCTGAGCTCTACATGACTACTGAGATGATGTAGATGATCCTACCTCTATGATACCTTCCCTTTCTGAGTATAGCAGGTATTCCTGTTGCTCCACTTTCATAACTATTTACAGAACCCTCTGTAATTCATCAGAAAGCTGTACTAATGACAACTATTCATGCATTTAGGTCAGGAAACAGTGTTAAGAGCTACATCTGGAATCTAAGTTCTGCATCCCACCATGTGTTGCTCATTACCACACCTCTTATTGTATCAACGTGTTACATTCTTAAAGCACCACAGAACACATTTTTTCTCTACAACTACTATGTACTAGCTGCTATTTTAGAGGTAGGGACCCTTTCCACCCACCCCACTTCCAAACTTCTATAGTCCCCCACTGCCAGAGGCATTCACAGGTCTCCAGATCCATTTGATGTTAACTTCAAGTTGCTCTAGAACACAGATTTTTTTATTTTCCTGAAACAGGCCAACTCTGTAGGGTTCTATACCAGAGCTTCAGGGACAGTGGTCAAAACAACCACAGTAATCAACTCTTCAACTCTGCCTTTTTGTGTCTGTATGCAGTCAGTAACAATGGTCCAGCATTTCTGCAATAGTTTCACCTATCAATGCCCAAGGAAGTGTGTGTAAGCCAGGGCTTCGGGAGCTGCAGGTTCCTCTGGGAGCTTCTAACCTTCAGAAAGAAGAATCCGAGGACTTGCAGGCATTGTCCTGGGGTTCCTCAGCACGTGACTCCAGCTCCAGTGTTCAACAACTTAGCCATTCCAAGTTCATACCATGCTATTTCATGTATTGAAAGAGAAAGCATTAGCTTGACCTGTGGAACATTAGGTTTTCCAGCAAAACATAGCTGGAACCTTAAAGCCTCCCTGAGAGATGCCTTCATGCAAGTTACCCAAAAGAAAAGTCAAGTCTTTGGTTTAAATAAAATGGAAGCAGCACTTGTGATGTTGAAGCACTGTGCCTACGCCTCAGTTACATCACAGGATTGGCAAGGTGCTTTGGCCAGTGCAGGGGCAACCAGTTCATCTGACCGTGTACTGTGCACACCTCATGGGTCTCAATAGGTGGGGCAGCAGGGCTGCTTTCACACAAACACACACACACACACACCCTCCCCCCCCCACCAACGGCCCATCAGACCCAGCCAGCAATTACAACTGAAGCAGATAGCCAAAGTTGTAAGTGCCAACACTATGCGTCACAGTGGTTTTTGTTTTGCTTTTGGTTGGTTGTTTTTAAACCTGTAGTGTCTTCCAAGTTTCCTATTACAGTGTTACCAGCTGGTGGGAGTTATCTGCAATCAGGCTGCTTTCTGGCAACTTCTTTTCAAGCCTGGCAGAAAATAAAGCTCTCAGTTCACCAATTTCCCTTTCCTCCACTCCCTTTTCAAATACAACCAATTACAACATCAGAATAAGAGTACTTACAGAAATTAGTGCAACTGTCAGATAAACAGAGCCATAGAAATACACAGCTCTGCATCCCTCTCCATGTACAAACATCAGTGCCATGCCAGAACCATTACCTGCAAATCTAAGGGCAAAAAAAGCTGCAAACTTATTCACCCCCAGATTGCTGTTCATTTACACAGGCTCCTATGTGTTGTCCCTGGGAACTGGGGTAGCAAAAGCCATCCACACATCACCAGGCAATACCACACCATCTGACAGGGGCAAGAAGGGAATATGCAGTCCTTACACAATCATACAGGCACACAACACAATCCCCACACACCCCCTTCTTTCTGTACGGTTTACAGAAGTAAGCTGTAAAAGATCAGCAGTACTTGCTTTCTTTGCGAGAAGGGGAAGGGTTCCTGAATGCAAGCCATTTTGCAGGACCAGCCTGATGCCAAATAAACCACCTTTGGAATCTGAGGATGTGCTAGGAAACAACAGCTAGGCCCACTTCTTCCCTCTCTTCAACCCTCACCACTACTATCTTGTGTAGCTACTTTATCCTCTCCTCTTTCACATCCCAGCCAGCAAAGCCTTGTTGAGCAAGTCCTCAGAGGGTTCAGCTGCCAGGAGCACAAGGTGCTGCAGTTACTTTATGGGTTTCTTTCTTAGATAATAAAAATTTTATTTTTCAACAAAGAAAGTAACATTTAAAAGTCTCCCAATATAACCCAGGAAGAGAGAACAAAATTTCAAGTCTCTCTGTACCTTCCCACAAAAACCTGAGGTGGGAGCAGATTTCCCTGCCTCATTTGTGAACAGAAGATTGATAATATTTCTGCCAATATTGCTCTCATCTCTCATGGAAAAACTGAGCACCAAATGTCAGGCTAAACTGGGGAACCTGCCCTAGGAACGGGTACAGTTCTATTGTTTTTGTACTGGCCAAGCCACTGCTGAAAAAGGATGCTGACAGGACACCAAATGCACACTGCGATCCAAGCGATCGACAATCTGGCTCCAAGTTACGCAGCCTTCCCTTCCCTCCCAACACCTGTCAAGAGACAGAAGTAAGACCTACAGGTTCTACCTAAACATGGCTGCTCCAGAAGAAGGCAGTAGCATGAACTTCACACAAGAGGACGCTACAGGTTGGCTACCATCTGACCTCCAACAGGCTGAATGGAATAAGAATTGGGCAAGTGACAAGTTATCAGCTCTTCCATCTGATGGCTCTGCTGCCTCTCACACTCCTTCCATTTTCGTCTCTCTTTTGGGACCTCCCAGAGCTATAGCTTCCTGGGGTTGTCATGCCTTACAGGATGATTTTTTCCACCCAATATTCACTGGGAGGATCGTAAATATTTTTCCTACAAGTGCCAAACCAGGCACTGTTCTGAGACTGCTAGAAAGGAAAGGAGCCTTCCCTGAGGCCTCTAGGCTTTTGCTGCAGTTCTAGAGCTCCTGTGGGTGGCTCTGTAGAACCCCTGGCTCCATTCTGGGCAATCCCATTCCCTGGTCCATTAGTCACAGCAGGCAGCTTCTTGTAGAAACTGTTCAACTACACAAACACTTCTGCAGCGAGGCAGCCCTTACACATTATTAAGCAAAAGCCATTTTCAAGCAGTTAGCAGAGCCAACAGTCTCAAAGGCAACACGACAAGTAGTCCTGGAAGGACCATATTTCATAAACTATCATGGAGAAATTAAAAGAAACATTGTTTTGGTGTGAAAGAATATTGGTGTGTACATCCCTTGCTCCTTGGTAGCGATTAACTAACCAGAAGTAGGCAGCATTGCCCCTCTCTTTCCCAGCTCCTTGAAGATTTCACACAGGGACAAATGAACATGGGAGCTATCTTGGTTCCTGCAGCACTAAAACATCTGCTAAACAAAGCAGTGGAACAAGGATCCCTTTAAGAGATGGTAATGCCTGAATATAACTGGAAGCCTATTGGGAATACAGCTCAGGTTTGCAGACACCCACCAAATACCAATGCAAAAAGCACTCCAACTCTCCCATCCCTGCTTTTTGTGAGGGTGTGAGGGGAGAAAGGGACTTTTAGGGCATGACAAGGAGAAGAGCTTTTTTGCAAGCAGGTTGTGAAATCCAGAGTCTCAACTGCTGTATTCAGAACAGCTTTTCTTTAGGGAAATGGAACCAACACTAACCCTCTCTGAGGCTGGAGATCTCCAAGCCAAAGCTAGCCAGCAGGCAGAGATGATCAGATGAACAAAAGGGATTTGGTAAGCCATCTGCCAGCAACAGAACATCTTCAGAGAGAAGGGAAAGGCGGCCAAGCAGCTTCAGGGCTCCATCCTGGTACAGCCTGCGACCTGACAAAGAAAATGGAAAGAAACATCAGTCAGAGACTGGTGCTGTAGATTAAGAAAGTTCCTTTCATGGTACTAAGTCCTAGCAATAGCTTCAGACTCTCCCCTGAGGAAGAATTCATCTCTTCATTTCTGACCTCCTCCCCAAAGTTGATTCAGACATGATCCAAACCAGTTCCAAGACAGTTCCTGGATGCGTTTACATGCGTCTTTCATCAGCGTAACTCCCATTTCAGGTAGCAGAGAGGCGGTGCCATTATAAGGTAACCAGAGTCACCACCTTCTAATGCCAGTGTGTGTGGTCTCAGTCAGACTAGAAGTCCAAGCCTTGAACTTAGGACCCAGCACTGCCTGTTATCAGCAGCACAAGAAAGATACTTGTACAAAAGAAGAGAATCCATTCCATTCTAGCTTCCTCAAAAAGCCTACATGAACCTAAGCTAAGTAGCTTCAGTTTTTCCATGGCAAAGATAAACAGTGTCTTCTCTTGATACCTGAGCCAAGTGTTGCTTCTCCTTTGTGCATCATTTCAGTCAAAGTCACACCTTGTAGATCCACCCCAGCTTAACGAAATGCACTGCCCAACACCAAGCTGCATTCTGGCATGCCTCACAGCCCTCTCCCAGTGTCGCAGGGATAAGCCCAACACTGCCATACTCACCCCCCCTGTTCCCATTCTCCACAGGCTCTGCCGAATAGAAGATATAATCAACAGTGGCTCCAAGCCCCATGGGCATCGTTGTGACCTCTGGGCGTCCCCTCTGTGGCAGGAAGTGGCTGTAGACAGAGGTCAGGTTGAGGCCATGTTGGATAACGCCTGAAGACCTGCACATGAACAGCCACCATTTACCAAGGAAGCAAAAAGAATGATGCAGTGTGTTCAGTACTGCAGTCACAGCTGAAGTTGCATGTTCCCTTGCTGATGCAACTTTTTCTACTTTGTGAACACACAAAAGACAGTCTTTCAGAAATACTCACTCCACTTACACCAAAGACAAAGTGGACTACCAACTTCCTTTGTCTCCAATGCCCAGTCCTGCCTATGCCCTTCATTCTCAACCTCACCAACACAATGGGGATAGAACAGCACCCAGCTGCTGGGACAACCCTGGGTGGATCTGTCTCTTCCAGGTAGTCCTCCTTACTCTCTTCCACCCTCACATTTATTTCTGTCTGTACTTCAGACAGATTTTCAGTGCTCAGGAAAACGAGACTGGGCTTGAAGAGTGGGGCCATTGAAGGTGCACCAAATTACCTTGGGACAAACGGCTGGGGATCAAGGTCTTTCACTGAGGCAGCAGGCTTGGGCCAGTGTGCAGGGCGGTCTGCAAAGGAGCAAAAAGATTCCAGCCAGATCTACACAGATCCTGGAACAGGCTGCTCATCACAAGTCTGAGAAGCTTCTCCTGAGACCAAACGATCTTTTTGCCCAAGAAGAGCAGATAGCTTCCAGTCACAGGCACCTTAAAGAAAAATATTCAAAGGAAACCCCAGCTCTAAGACTAACAGGAACATCCTGAGAGCAGATCAGTGCAAACAACTGAGAAGTTATATTCTGCCCTGCTAAGGACACATCCTTAAAGCTTTTAGTATTATCAAAGCTCAGGGTACTTCAACCTTTGCTCTCAAAGACAGTTCATTTGACTTAGCCTACAGCTTACTCAAAGGGTGTCTAGAAAGGCAGAACAGAAATGGAGAGAGCAAAACCAGCCATGCCACAAGGCCCAGAGATGAGGCAGTGTCTACTGGGTACCAGCATCCAGAGACATCTATGTTGTGGTCATTGTGACATTACAGTCTTCAGGTTTGTTCTTCCCACCAACAATCTTGAAGCAGAAAAAAAAGAAAAAAAAATATTTCACTTCATAAGAAACAGCCTTCAAAAGAGACTGAATCTCAGTGCATTTCAAGGAACACAGTCAGTGTTTATAAGGGTGGTAAGATTGTACTCCTCTGAGCTCTCATGGAATCCATTAATAATCACACAGCCACAGAAGGCACCCTTCTGCCTTCCCCTTTTCTCACCAGGCATTACCTCCACCTCACATTTTCAACAAAATCAAGCTACGAGAGTCACAAGCTGAAAAAAATCTCACATTAATACCTGGTTTAGCATCTGTCACACCTTCCAAGAGGATCAGGTGTGGTGGTCGTTCACAGGCAACATCGCAAAAACGAAACTGGAGCAGGAAGTCCCGGCTGTACTTGCGTCTGCCTGCAGAGAAAAATACAAGTTAAAAAAGAAAATAACTGCAGCAAAGCCACATCTACAGGGAACATCTGCATACTCTTTAGACCTTTAAACCTCTTAGAGCTCTTTAGTTTGTGAGAGGTTTTTGTGCCCAAGCACTCTGACACCATGAGAATGGGAATCACTTAATAACCTAAATGCAGAATAGAACAGATGCATAAACGTAGAAGAACAGAGCACAGTTATTGCTGTCCCCTTAGCTAGTGCAACGGTCATGGTCAGCACCTTGACAAAACAAACTAAGAATGTTGTCTCTCAGTCACCACAAGTTCAAGGGACTTTTAAGTAGATCAGTTACTGTGCAACTCAAGGAAATGTCGGCCGAAAAAGAAAAAACAATTTTGGAGATCAGGTTCAACGCAAGTTCTACATTTAAGATTCCAACAGAAGCTATTTAGTGCAGACTCCTTTTTTTTTTTTAATCCTCTCTAAGGACAGTAGAGAACAGTCATGATTGTAACTGGTCTCTTAGGAATGATTTCCTAATACTAGTGTGCAAATACTGCCCAAAACCGCTCCCACAAACACCTGCAGCTGAAAGCTGTGGCTGCTGAACATGGTTTACAACTGCACAAAAGCATAAGTCTGGGAACATGAAAGAGATACATAGGACAATGGTAACTGGTAGGGCAACAGTCAGCTCCTGACTAGAGAAAAAAAATGGGAGAAATTGGGCTACAGCAATAGACTCCAGAAAAATTAAATTTCATTCATATACCAAGGAAATGGATAGAAAAAGAGAATCTTTGCTGAGTGCCTCATGCAACACATGCCCAAGCTACTCTGAGAGACAGCAAGGCTCGCAAACTGTCCATCTTCAGCAAACTCATGTTCTCAGTGCACACTGGAGCTCACCTAGTTTCTTTGGCTGGCACAGCGTTACATATTGGCAGCTGTCCGTTACACCCAGTGAGCTCGGCCACAGTGGGGCCAGCAGTTTCCGTGCATACAACTGTTGGGAAAAGTCTTCCTGGCCAGACACCTGCAAGGAGGCCAGAAACAGGGCAAGAAACATCAGCAACACAGAGCAGAACTTTTGCAAGCTACAGACAATGTACATATATACCCTTGCCAAGAGCAAGACAGGAGAATACCCTCACAGAAAGGCATGAGCTAAGCTATTTAGAACATGGTGCAGATAGAATAAGCCTTCAGCTGTGGGGGATGGATACAATGATGTATTTGATCACAGATACACAGTAACGGGTAACTACAAGAGACTGTAGCATAGGTGCCCATTTCAAAATGTTTTTAGATCAAACATCCACATAAAGTTTCAGTAGTCTTGGGGAGTTGTACTCTCCTACACTTCCAGTCACCCAGGCACAAAAGTCCCATAGCAAGGGAGAACCAGGACCTGAAATTAAGTGGTCTATTATCACTGGTCTGCCTCAAGTGAAAAGAGGAGTGGTGGGAACAACACACACACGTTTGTTTGCTTCTTTTCCCAGCAGCGCTCAAGGCATCGAAGAAGAATGCTGCATAATTGAATTCAATATTCGGACTATCTCCTCACAAGAGAAAGAATGCAGCCATGCATTTCTCCAGCAGCATGCAAGAAAGAGCTACTCAATCCCAGTTCTGGTGGGCACCTACCTTCCACGCTGGCATCCCATGGTAGGAAAGTTCACCATTACGGATGAATTTGTAGAGCGGAGAATCAGGTACAGAGTTCAGGTCTCCACACAAGATGACAGGATAGTAGCTGCCTTCAGTAGTTTTTGCAATCTTGTCAATCTCTGCTAGGAGCAAGGCCATCTGGGCCAGTTTGATATCTCCCCGCCGGGGATTGAATAACACATGAGTGTTAGCCACACACAAAGGACTGATTGCCTTCAGATCTAGGCCCTCTGGGAGCAGAGGCTGTAGCAGCAGCACCAAGCCCACGTTATCCCGATTGAGGATATCCATGCCAGGCCGGAAGTATTCGATGGGGCTGAGGCTGATCAGCTGGAACCTGCTGTGCTTATAGCACACGGCACAGCCATCTGTCTTCGTCCCCGTTCTCCGTTTATAGAAGCACGCAAAGCCTGAAAAGAAACCATCACCTATTAAAAGGTTTATCCATTTGCTACCTCAGGCTCCCCCCAACAGCTGGGGAGCTCACCAAGTCTGTGTAGCAGAAGAGGTTCCTCCTACACATGGGTACAGCATTATACCCAATTCTGTTCCAATAATCATAGTTTATCATTTATCATTGAGGGTATTTTCTCTCTCCTTGTCCTTTTAGGAGCCACTCAGTTTTGTTACTCTGCTCTGTCAACTCTGAGAAAGATCAATTACAAAAGAAAGGGTAAAGGTCTAGGCAGACAGTTGAGAAGTAGGGCCAGCAGCCACCTGACAAACAAGAAGAGCTCTCTCAAGATCAAGTGCTTTGAAGACATTAAGCAGGAACCACTGCTTGGCCAGTCCCATGAGCTGGAGGTACAGACACATAAAAGCAGGACATACCCATCTCCTTGAACATTGGTTCCAGCTGCTCCCAGTAATGGTTCTCTTGCACCTCCTGGAGACACAGAACCTGGAAGGAAGGCAGATACCTCACTCGCTCCACCAGTATTTGCTAGTTACCTTGTTTTGGGGAAGGAAAAAAGCGGAAAAGTACACTTACATACCAACCCTGCAACCAGAAAGGTCATCACTGCAACTCTGTCCTGTACTTTCCAGATAGAGAGCAATAACTTTCTGGGTCACATTATTATCATTCAGTTTTCCAGTGATGAGGCAGAATATCCATCATCACACAAAGAGGACTCAAGGAATAAAGTAAGTCATTAAGTCCTCTTCTATACAGGCTTCCCCTCCTGTGTTGCCCTATAAACCTGGTCCTTTCCTCCCCAAACACACCTTATCTCTTCTTTCTCTACTTCTGCTGTTTAAAGAAGTTAAGCCCTGCTATCAAAGTATGACTAGTTTCTACAGTAACACAATCAAAGACAGACAGACACTAAAAAAACCCATATGCACAAGGCCTCAAACACTCTCAGAGGAATCAGTGTTCAGTTACCCAGCAGGCAGCATCTTCCTAGGACTTTCCCCCCGACTCTTTTTTTTTATTTTATTTTTTAATGCTGTTAGATCAAACAAGTAATTCAAATTCTGGTGACACTGACGCAGGAAGGGCTCAGTCATACTCACATCAGGATCCCAATGCTGGATCTCCTGCAAAAGGTTTGGCAGGCGGTAGTTCCAGTTCAGGATGTCTGGATGACAGTGTTGATACAGATCAAGGCCCTGCTCCACCAGGTCCTGAGCAAGGATGTTGTAAGACATGACTCGAAATTCAAAGAGAGGAGTGTTTTTCGAGACCTGCTCTAGCACACAGGGCTGGACAGAAAGATCCTCCCAGTCTCTCCATAAAATCTCTATATGCAAGAGACAAAAAGCCAAGTTACAGCCATACTGGATACCCTGCTGATACTTTTGCTCCCCTGGGACCCAGAAAATAGCCATTCTCATTCTCTAAGCTAGGGTATTCTAGCCTCTGAGCAAGCCCTCACCCACTCTGGTTTTCAGGTGCTCTTTTTGGATGTCTTTGGATAGCTGTCAGTGGGGATGGTATAACAGAAGACCAGAGTCAAGCACACTGAAACACTCAACCAGCTTTTGAAGGCTTTTTATATTATAAAGCCAGCACTGGTGAACAGTTCCTGGGAAATGAACATATATTGATGTTCAGACCAGACAGTCTAATAGCACAGAGACTACTAGCTGTGACCAGCCCCTTTGCCCCCCCACCCCCAGCAAAAACTCACTTTATAGTTTTCAGTAGCAGATCCTGTCAATTCTGCATGGACAGATACAATCAATGTCTTACTGACAGCAAGCCCAGACACAATAACCTGACCTCATTCACTACAAATGCAAATCCCAAACTGAACATTAGATTCAGAGCTGTTACTACTGACCATGGTAGGGTACCTCTGTCGGGAGAGGACAGAATTGTACTGTATCCTGAATGGGCCAGGCTGGGGGCTCTGTTGGCACTGTTCCTGCATCACGCACTAAACTCCAGGCCAGCACAGCTGGGTCTTCATTCTGCACTTCTACATCGATAGCGGCATAGCCAGCTATCTGGTGATCCGTCTGTGGCACCACAGCTGCCCAAGGGGCACTCTCTGCTACAGCCACTGCTTCCTCTGCTGGTAATTTTGCCAGCTCAGTCACTGCATCATCTTGTGGTTCTTTAGAAGCCAAGGCATGTAGCTCTGTGAGCTGCTGACCAGCACACTGGGTGACTTCTGGAGCTGAATTCAGGTCACTGAGGCTAGTCATCAATAGCTCTGAACCTTCTAACCAGTCACTAGTGAGCGTAACTGATACTTTCCCCACTGATGGAACACTCTCACTTGCTGGCAAATTCCCTGCTCCTTCTTCCAGCCACTGCTGGAGAAGGGCTTCTTGCTCCTCTGGGACCAATCTTCCTCTGGTTGCACCAAAGACGCCTTCTATCTGGGTGGACGTGCTCTTCGCCAGAAGCACATTCTTTCGACAGGTGAAGAAAGCATCTGCCAAAACAAAGCCAACATAAGACAGGTGAAAATCCTTTCTAACTTACTCTTTTTCCTGTGCATTTGCTGTAACTCTGTCTGATACAACCATTCAGTGCAGCAACCCAAACAAATGACTTATCTGAAGAAAACCAGTTACAGTCTGAACAACTTACCCTGCCTCTTCCTGAACGCAAGGCTGTGGTCCAATTTTAGTTACATTAGTCAAAGTCACTGACACACTGTACAGGATGACAATGGCTTTACAAACTTTAAGGAATGCAATTCTAACTTACGCAGCACCACAGCCAGTCAGCCAAGCTAAAAGGCCTTGTGGAAACTATCACCTCTCGGCAACACATGTAAAGGCACAGTCTGTAGAAGTTAGCTGATGGGGTGCATGGGCTGAGAAGCTGAGCTCTTGTAGATGACCACTTGGAGCAAGTTCCAGGGACTGAGTAACAAAGTAGTGCTCAGCTAAGAGGACCAAACGTATCACAGGAATGCATGTAGAAGAAAAACTGTTCTGTTATTAAAAGATGAAAAATAAAGACACGGAAAGACCAACATGTGCAGTTAGAAGCCTTATTAGAGAGAATATATGCACAGAAGTAGTCCTGGTAAGAATTACAGATCACCTGACGATTGACATCTGTGGTAAAAAAAAGAAATTTAAAAACCCTACTATTACTTCAACACTTGGATATACTAATATTGGCGGGGTAAAGTAGAAAAAGGCAGGGATTCTCTTCTCTTGTGTCTGTCGGCATTTACGTTTTGCTATGAATTCTGCACAGACACTAGTCCCTACTGTTGACTAGCAATTTCTGTTGTCTACAAATCACTTTTTCTCTACTGTATCCCTGTGACAGTCAGCCATCCAGAGCAGTAACATACAGGAGTCAGCAACATCTATGTATGCTTTTACTGTGTCTTTCATGTCAAAGCTTTCCGTATGTGTCAGAAATGGAGCTTTAAGAGCCATACTCCTCTCTGCAGTTTTGTAATTAAGTTCACAAAGGTCAGACACACCAAAGTAGTATTTTCACACACCACTAGCCAGGCACAGCTGTTACAAGAGCCGGTTACTACAGGATAGGAGCTGAATTTGAGAGGAGTCAGCTCGCTGCTCACTATGACCACAGTGTGCCAGTGGCTGCTACAGGCCTGGGGACAGGTTCAGGCAGGAGAGTGAGTGGCTTTACACCAGCGACTGTAAGTAGCAGCAGGATCTAGGAAACGAAGTGAAATAGTGATGCACGCAAAGCAAGAGTCCATCCATGAGTCACCCGCGGGTGCTTGGGCACTCACGGACCTCAGAGCAGCCCATCTCCAGAGTCCTTCCCAAACCTGCCGCGCTCGGGCCCCCACGCAGGCCGCAATCTGCCACCGCAGCACAACAGTCGGCAACCG